TATATATATATATATATATATATATATATATATATATATATATATATGACCTAGGTCCAGACCATGCTTGTTCTTTGGTTGCTGCTTCAGTCTCTGTGAGCCACTATGGGCCTAGGTTAGTTGACTTCTGTTCTTCTTGTAGAGGCGTTGTCCGACATACTTGTCTTTTAATGGGGCTGAGTTAGCAGCCAGCATGGAGTTCCTGGCTCCCAGGGTGAAGATTTCCCAGAGCAAAGGGCACTTGGTCATTAAGGGGTTGCACAGGAACCTGACCTAGTAATACAGACCTGGCACTATGTAAGAAAATGAGACAGCAGACTCAAAACTAAGGCCTGCCTGTGCTAAGATAGCCTGGACAGCTTAGCAAGATCCTGCCTCAAAAGCAAAAATTAAAAGAAAGGGGCATATATAGCTCAGGGGTACAGTGCTCATCTGGGAGCCACCATGACAGTTAGGGGGCTTTACTCAATGGAAGAGCATTTGCCTAAATAGAATCCCCCAGTGAGGGGCTGGGGTGTGGCTCAGTGGTGGAGCACCTGCCTAGAATCCCTCAGGGATGGGGGTGTGGATCAGCTGGGGTGTTTTTTTTTTTTTTTTTTAGCATGTTTGAGACCCATGTTTCCATCTGTAGCACTGAAAAAAAATTTTTTTTTTTTTTTTAATGGAGACCGCGGGAATCCATCTGGTTGAAGAAACTGAAGGATTCCTGGGGGAGGCAAATTTAAGCACCAAACCGTGGAGGTGGGGAGCTGGCCTGGAACTGAAGTCTTGAGCAGGGGACTACCCAGCATTCATCAGCTCACCTGCCCCTCCCCCAACTCTCCCCAGGTGGACTTGTGTGTCTGACTACCAGGACCAACCCATCCAACCTTCCATACAAGGAGGCACTGGAAGCCACCTTAGACTCCCTGGAGCAGGCTGGGGCGTGGGAACGCCTGGTGGCCCAGTCTGTGGACCACTGGGAGCTAGCAACGTCAGAACAGGAGACAGAGATGGGTGCCTGTGCCAGCAGCGGCTTCATCTCCGGCATCATCTACCTTTATCCAAAGCAGGAGACAGTCCTGGGCGAGGGAGGCAGGGTCAGCGCCCAGCCCCCGAATGAACACTGATCCTCTCTGTATGATCTGAGCTCAGTCTGTCGCCCTGGCCTACTCTGCTCTGCCTGTAAAACAGGTCCACCTTCCCAACCCTGCCCCTCAGGAATGCTGGACTAGGTAGACCCCGGGGCCACTGAGGAGACCCCTCTCGTTTCTTTGTGTATCCTATCATGTGTCATGCTCTAGCCTGCACATGGACACCCAAACCACAGACTCAGGTACACAAGCTGCTCACACACCAGATTCAGAAAAGAAGAGGAAAGGAATGAAGAGACCGCTGTCTCCTGTCACATGACCAAGCACCATCCCATCCCCCAGCCCTTGAAGCAATGATCTTACAAAAAAACTTTGAATTCCGACCAGCAGGGTGGCTCAGCCGGGAAAGCCACACTGAGCACCAAGCCTGTAACCTGAGTTGGAGCCTCAGGATCTACCAGGTGAACCGAGAGAATTGACCCTACAAGTTGTCCTCTGCTTTCAACACTTACCGTGTACCACACACACACTAAGTAAATAAACAAGCAGATAAAGAAATAAGGGGGTTGGTGGCGCACACCTTTGTTCCCAGCACTCAGGAGGCAGAGCAGGCAGTTCTCCGAGTTCAAGGTCAGCCTGGTCTACAGAGCAAGTTCTAGGACAGTCAGAGCTACACACAGAAAGAAACCTCGTCTCAAAAAAAAAAGAGATAAAAGGTGGATGTGGTAGCCCAGGCCTGTGATGGATCCCAGCACTCAGAGAGGGATAGACAGGTGGATCTCTGTGAGTTCGAGACAAGCCAGTCCAGGACAGCCAGGGATATAGAGAGAGACGGAGAGACCGTGTCTCGGGGGGGAAAAAACTTAAGGGGGAGGGGCACTTGTTGCAGAGGACCTGGGCTCAGTTCCCAGCACCCAGGTCACAGCTCACACGTCTGAAACTGCAGTCCTAGGAGTCTCGCGCCTTCCTTCCTGACCTTGTCAGGCACTAGGCACACAGGTGATACGACACTCAAACACATCACATAGTAAAATACTTCAAAAATGAAAACAAAACAGAGTTTTAAATGAATAGACAGTATGAATTTTAAGAGATGCTTATTTTAAAACCTCAGGTTATGCAGAGAAGGGCAGACCTGTAATCTCCTCACCTAGGAAGTGGAAAACAGAGGGTCGGGAGTTCACAGCCAGTCTCCACTACATAGGGAGTTCAAAACCAGCCTAGGGTACGTGAGATCCTGTCTCAAGGAAACAAAACATGGGGCTGACAAGATGGCTCAGCAGGTGCAGGCACTTCGTTTGAAGCCCCATGACCTGATTTCCATCCTCTTGAGGACCCACACTATGAAAGGAGAGAGAAAGCCAGTTCCTCAAGTTTGACCTCTGACCTCCATACAAAGGTTGTGAAGTACATATGCACGCACACCCAATGCATAAGTAGGTAGGTGTGATTAACATTTTCCAGAAAACAGGTGGCAGGGCTGATGAAATGGGTCAGTAGGTAAAGGCCTGACTTTGATCCCCAGTGTTGCCCTATGACCTACACACACACAAAAGAATTATGATAATGTCAGGGGCTGGAGACGTGGCTTCAGGGTTAATGGCTTCCTGATCTCACAGAGTCCCAGAGTTCTCAACCTCCATGTGAGGACGCTCACAACGGACTGTAACTCCAGCCCAAGAGGAGCTGACACATTTGGCCTCTGAGCAGGCACCTGCACTCACACACAGATTTTTTTTTTTTTTTTCGAGACAGTGTAGCCTCTGTGTAGCCCTGGCTGGCCTGGACTCACTTTGTAGACCAGGCTGGCTGACCTTGAACTCTCAGAGATCCACCTGTCTCTGTCTCCCAGAGTGCTGGGATTATAAGTGTGCGCCACCCACCACCGCACCCCGAAAAAATAATGAAAATAACTGCCAGGCATTAGTGACACACACTTTTAGTCTCAGCACTGGGCAGGCAGAGGTGGGCAGATCTCTGTGACTTATAGGCCGGCCTGGTCTACAGACTGAAAAATAAACAATTTGAAAAGTAAATTTAAACAAAACAAAAAAGAGGCTGGGTGTGAAGACCTGAGTTCTGGTCCCCAGTGTCAGTTTCTAAGAAGGTAGTCATTGGTGGCACACACTTGAAACTCTAGAGAAGGGAGAATCCCTAAAGTTCCCTGGCCAGCCAGCCTATCCAAATCAGTGAGAGTTCATCGAGAGGTCCCGTCTCAAATAACAAGGCGGAGAGTGAGTGGGGATACCTGGTATGTTCATACCTACTTGTGCATACAGAGAGAGAGAGAGAGAGAATAACTCAAATATGCCTCCATAAAGGGAATTTCAAGCTATTTATAAGATGAAGAACAGCTTGGCAAAATGGCTCAGAGTAGGGTAACTTGAGTTCAATCTCTAGGACTCCCCGTGACAGAAGGAGAAGACCAACTCCAGCAAGCTGACCTCTGACCTCCATAAAACACACACAGAAACAACAGAAAATAAATAGATTTTAAAAAAGTTTTTTTAAAGACAAAGTAATGGAGTGATCTGATTTGTGGGAGAAGGTGACTGGAGAAGCATATTCAGAAAATTGTGATTTAGCCTGAGCTGTGTTTGCAGCCTGGGGCCCCACGTATCAGAATGACATTTACTGGACATTTGCACGGTCCCAGCTTGGTAGCTTCAGCCAGTTGGAGCTAGGCCAGGCTGTATCCAAACCCGGATAGGATAACACAGTGGACAGTTGTCCTGTCGGCCACAGCACCCCTTACCCCCAGCCTCCCACCGCCCCTCTCCCACAGTCCCATCAGAGATGTTAGCTTTGGTTGCGCTAACGGGGTGGATTGGCTCAGAAGATGGGCAGTGTGGGCCTGCCTGGAACAAAGAGCTGCCTATGCTGGCCAGGCTGCCTCCCACCCCAACACCTGAGAAGCTGAAGCAGGGGGATAGAGAGCCCAGCACCTGCTTGGGCTGCGGAGAGAAATCCAGGGCAGCCTGGACCATTTGGTGACTCTGTTTTAAAAAGTAAAACAAGATCTAGAGTGGCTGGAGGAACGGCTTTGCAGGAAGAGCTGCCTGTTCTTCTAGAAGATCTCCTCCAGAGGACTCAGGTTCAAGTCCCAGCACCCACATGGTAGATCACAGCTGTCTGTAACTCCACCTCCAGGAAATCTGACAAACACCAATGCATACGAAATAAAATAGGTTTGAAAAAAAATCTGGAGACAGAGAGCACTTGCTAGAATTCCCCAATACGGGGTTCAAAGTGTGCTTTAACAGTAGTACAGTTACCCAGAAGCCCCTCTCTAGCACACGGGGTAAAATTAAATCGACAACAGGAAAAAGTCTAGTCTTTTTCATCTTTTTTTACATTTACGTATTTCTTTACTGTATACGTGCATATGCATGTATGTGTTCATGTGCCGAGGTATGCATGCGTATATGCTTACAGAACAATATGGGCTCTGGAATTTAGGTCAATTTACATCATCAGTCTTGGCAGCAAGCACCATTACCTGAGGAGCCATCTCACAGGTCCAGGACGGTGCAGTGAAATGGATAGTGAAGCCTTTGTGTCTGGTTTTGAGTGAAATGTTTCAGCAAAGTCTTGGCCATGTTTGGGTCCATCAATAGAGGCTGAGAGGTTGTTTTGAGACTGTTTGAACCGTGAAAGAAATGTAGTTTCTCTGGAGAGTCTGTGCTTGGTGCCACGCGAGCGCTCGCAGCTGCACCGGCCTTAGTCCTAAGACAGTCCTGGCAAACCTGGAGTTCTGACTTTTCATCATGGCTAGCCCTGGGGAAACCTGGACTTCCTTTGATTGTGGCTAGCCCCTCATTGAAGTGGCCTGAGATTTGTGTGGGTTGTCTGCTTCCATGGTAGTTGGAACTTTTCTCAGCCCCAGTTAACAGAGTGAGCTAGATGGGTGTTGTCTCTTCCAAGAAGGCCGAACTAGTCTCCTCCTTCAGAAAATGAAGGCACTGGGACAACCATCAGATAAAAAAGGAAAAGGCTGTAATGTGTCTTTTGTTACTCTGACGCAGGGTGAAACATAGGCCTGGAGGCCTTTAACTGGCGGAGGCCTAAGCCTAAAGCCCTGATCCCCCAGCGGCCACTCTGGAGCATGGAGGATTACTTTACCGGACTCTGTGCCTGCACCACTTAATTTTAGGCAGTGCTGGGGCTTGAACCCAGGAGCTCTGGTATGCCATGCTTCCCCTCTACCCTGAAAGGTGATGTGCCTCCATCTTGGGGAAGGGGGAGGGGTGTTTGCTTTGTTTTGTTGGTTGTTTTTTGTTTTTGTTTTAAACAAGGTCTCATGGCCCGGGCCGTGGCGCACACCTGTCATCCCAGTACTTGGGTAGAAAAGGCAGGAGGATCTTCGCAAGTTCAAGGCCAGCCTGGTCTACAAAGCAAGTCCAGGACAGCCAAGGCTACACAGAGAAACCCTGTCTCAAAAAAGCAAAAAAATAAAATAAAAATAATAGTATCTCACTTTGTAGCCTTGGCTGTCCTGGAACTCACTATATAGCCCAGGCTGGCCTCACACACAGAGATCTGCCTGCCTCTCAGCCACCTGGGTTTTAAGTGTTTAAGGAGGAGGAGGCTGGGGCACCGGAGCACCATAGGGGAAATTAACTACAGAAAGCAAATGGAACAGCTGTTACACACAGGTAGCCCAGGGTAGCCTCACGCTAAGTAATGAAGGGTGGTCTTGAACTCATGATCTTCCCACCTCTACTTCCTGAGTGATGGGATTCTGTCACCAGCCCACACCTACCTTTAAAACAGTCTGATGCCAGGCCTGGTGGCACACACCTTGGATTCCAGCACTCAGGAGGCAGAGGCAGTCAGATCTCTGTGAGTATGAGGCCAGCCTGGGTGAGCCCAGGACAGCCAGTGCTATACAGAGAAATCCTGTCCTGAAAAACCAAAAACCAAACAACAAAAAACAATCTGATAATTTCATTATGAGAACTTGGTTATACCTATGTAGCCAGGGAGTGACAAGGGGCCATGGAGATGGTGGCGCAGTTGCATGAGCCTAGTGATGTGAGCTTCACCCAAACCCACATAAAGCTGGACGAAGAGAACCACTCCACAAAGCTGCACCCTGATCTCACTTCCAAGCCAATGGGGAAGGACTTAGTGTCTTTTTCCACGAAGGGACTTTGTGAGCTGGGACTCAGAGCTAGAAAGCTTGCTTAGTATACTGAAGCCCTGGGTTCCATCCCAACCCTGAATAATCCAGGTGTGATGGCCACGCCTGTAATCCCAGCACCAGAGAGCTGGAGGTGAGAGGATGAGGAGTTCAAAACCATCCTTTGCTCTGGATCAAGTCTGAGTTCAGCCAGCCAGGGTTCATGAGACCCTGTCTCAAACAAAGTGGGCATCCAGGCCTAAGAGCAATGGCTCTCAGCACAAGTCCTTTACCCTGAGCCCCACATAAAACAGACCCTCTAATCCCGAAGCAGGAAGATTAGGGTCATTGTCAAGGTCATCTGTTCAAGGTCATCTTCAGCTATATGGCTAGAGGCTAGCCTGGGCTACATTCAGATCTTGTATCAAAATAATAAAAACCCAAGGGACTGGAATGGATTGTCCGGGTGTGGCTCAGGCTGCCCTGGGGCGGCACAGCTGTAGGTTTAAGGACTCTCAGTAACTTGAGCATTCCAGGGCTGTGGGAGGACTCTCTAGGGAGGAGTCTACACGCTGGACCTGCATGACCAGCCTGGCTTCAAGAGTGGGGAAAGGACATGCCAAGGTTAGGGAAGGTGGCGCCTACAGAAGATAAGCAGGCCAACCTGGCTGCTCAGAGAAAGGGAGCCGAAAGTGGGAGAGGAAAGGCAGGGGCCAGCCTCAGTTTCTCCCATCTGTTGTCCCTCCTGGTACCCCCAGCTCCTTTCCCCTGACAGTCCTGGCCATACACTGGACCCGAGATACAGGGTTCCCCTCTGACAGATGAAGGGCTTGCCATCACGGAAGTGCACTCAAGATATTGAGGCAGGATTGCTTTGAGTTTGGTGGGCTTTGCACTGTGACCATGTCTCAGAAAAGAACCAATAAAGGCCAAAGGCCAGGTTAGAGATAGTTCTGATATTTACAATTCTCTGAAATCTTTGAGATGTGGGTCTCAAGTAGACCAGCCTTGAACCTACTGTGTGTGTGTGTGTGGGGGGGGGGTCTTGCCTCTGCATCTGGTCTGTTTGGGGCCGAGTATGGAACCCAGGCTTCCAGTGTGCCAGGCAGGCTCCCCAACTGAGCTCCATCGTCAGCCCCTGAAATCACTTCATCCTAGTCCAACAATCGTGGTTGGACTAGGTCCCCCCTGTGGACCCTCGCCAGCCCTCCAGCCCTGCCCCACCCACAGAAAGAGAACAGCCCAGAGCGTTCCTGTACACAGGTGCCATTTATTGTAGAAAATAATAATAATTACAGCTGTGAATAGACCTTAAATTACAAAACAAGAAACCACAGGGAAGGTAGGGAGCCCAGGAGACTCCCTGATTCAACGCCGTCGTCCCCCTCCCCCCGTATCTTTGGCAGACTGGCCAGTGTCCCTGAAGTTGACAAGGGTAGGGAATTCAGAGGGGCCAGCTTAAGAGGCCAAGGGTCCTTCAGGAGGGAGGGGTGCACAGAGATCAGGGCATTTAACGAGACGGTACTGAAAAGGGTGGGGACAACCTGGCTGCTTCTAGGTCCCCAGCCCCAGGCCTCCCCAAACCAGTTTAACGCACCCCCACCCTCCCCTCAAACCTGTCCGTCCACTCCACAGACCTCGCTTCCGAGGGTAGGTGGGAGGGTGCGGCCCCAGTCCTCGTCAATCACTGGGGTTCTCAGCGGCCCCTTCTGTCCCAGGCAGCGTCCCACCAAGGCTCCAGGTAGGACCGGGGGTGCTCGGGAACGTGAGGCACAGTGGCGAGAGTAGAGGTGGGCGGAGAGCGTGAGGAGGGCAGAAAGGGACAGCGGAGTTGCTAGCAAGAGCAGGACGTCCACTCGAGAGCGCAAAGCCACGGCTGAGCTATCCCGGCCAGCAGGACGCAGCTCCGCGGCTCCGCGGCGGTACCCAGCCGCTCCCGCCTTCAGCCCCGCCGCCAGGAGCAGCTTGGATGCAGGCAGCGAGGAGCTATTCTCCATCCTGGCCGGAGGAAGGAGCCTCGGGATGTGTCCAAGTCGGGGCGGGTGGTTCCGCGGGGACTACCTGCCAGTCACTTGGCACAATCGGGGCCTCCCGGTCCCCAGCAGTCGGTGGGCGGCCCATAGCAGGGCAGGAGCCTTACACGTAGTTGCTGGCGGGGACGGAGCGGGCGGCGGAGTACTTGGCCGAGTAGGGTTTGTCGCTGCCTCGCGGGGGACAGCTGCAGCAGAGCAGCCCTCCGCCCAGGAGCAGGAGCCCGGAGGCCGCCCAGCCGATGTAAAGCGAGGCTCCCATCTCCCTCTTCTGCCCGGAAGCCACCAGAGGGTTGTAGAAGTCGCGGATGACGTTGTGCGCCGTCCAGGACACGGGCACCAACTCCAGCAAGGCTGCCACGATGAACACGGCGCCGGCTGTGATCATGACCTTGGCCTTGACGGTGTCGTCCTCCAAGCAGTTGGTACACTTGCCGCCCACCACGGAGAGGAGCATCCCGAAGGCGGCCACGATGACGCAGATGACCGTGAGGGCTCGCGCGGCCTGCAGGTCCTGCGGCAGCGCCAGCAGCGAGTCGTACACCTTGCACTGCATCTGGCCGGTGCTCTGCACCACGCAGTTCATCCACAGGCCCTCCCAGCTGGTCTGCGCCGTGACGATGTTGCTGCCGATGAAGGCCGTCACCCGCCACATGGGGAGCGCGCAGCTCAGGATGGCCCCCAGCCAGCCCAGGACCGCCAAGGAGATCCCCAGCACCTGCAGTCCCATAGACGCCATCGCTCAGTCTCTGCAGGGGTCAAGGTTGGAGACCACAAAAAGTTAGCTCTCTCTGGAAGGAATAGGAGTCCGAGGGCTGAGGAAGCCTTTTCTAGTGAGCCTCAGGGACACGAAGCCAAGTCGGAGGTGCTGGTGAGCCCGGCACACGGCTACCAAGCGCGAACGCCCGCAGCGCCTCACTGCACGCACCTGCAACCGGGGCAGGAGGCCACAGGTGCTGCTGTTAAAGCAGCGCGGAGGAGGGGCGGAGGCAGAGGGAGGGGCTTCAGCGCCCAGGGCCTCCCTCACGACCAGTTTCTCTGGATTCCTGAGCCTGGGCCAACAAAGGCGTTCTAAGGCCCCAGTCCCGGGCCCCTGAGTCACCCAGTATCACAGGAAACTGCCGTCTCCCCCAGCCCCCAGGCTCATGCTGAGGTCAGCCGGGAGACAGACACTGAGTCACCAGGCAGGAGCACCTGGACGCTCAGCGGGTGGGGACACAGGAGGGACGGGCAGCCAAGCCTAGCCAGAGTTCAGAGCCCAAGGTGTGGGGCCCCAGGACTCCCTGCGGGGTCCAGCGAGGCAAGAGAACAGAGACCCTTCTCCGGGGAGGCTGAAGATCCTGCCCGGGGATGTCCAGGAGAAACCCTGCCTTAATGAGAGCCGCTTTTACCCTGTCATTTTATCACCGCCATCGCGGCTATTATTGTCATTAATGCGCCAGCACCTGTACTTTGCCTCAACAGCAACTTTCCTACCATTCATTGGCCAGAGGAAGTTGGTGTGAGGAAATGAGGGCCTGGGGCAGTCGGGGCTCGGGCCAGATCACCTGCTGTCCAATTTCCCTCTTGTGTGACTTCCCCACTCAGCCATCTTGCTGAACCTCAGGGTTTAGAGGTGAGGCACTCTGGGCCAGAACCAGAGACAGGGAAAGGCTGGTAAGATGGCTTAGTGGGTAAAGCTACTGGCTACCAAGCCCCTAAGGACCTGGGTTTGGTCCCTGGGGCCTAGGTGATAAGGGACACACATGTCCTCGGATGCACAGTGTGTAAATAAACGTGATTTTAAAATCCTGGCCCTCTTCCTTCCTGGGGCTGGGGCTGGAGAGATGGCTCAGTGGTGAAGAGCACTAGCTGCTCTTCCAGAGGTCCTGAGTTCAATTCCCAGCACCCCCCATGGTGGGTCATAACCATCTATAATGAGATCTGGTGCCCTCATAATAAACAAACTTAAAAAAAAAAAAAAAAAAGCCAGCCAGGCCCGGGGGTAGGATTTACGTGGGAAGCTGATGTTTACACAGGAGCCCTTCCCATAAAGCCAGCCTGCGCAATAAGTCCCTGAAGACATCAGAGAGAAAAGGGACTTCCAGCAGGGACTTCCACCAGGGGCATAGAGGGAGCTCAAAGGGGAAGGTGTGCTTCCTGGCACAATTTTTGTTTGTTTGTTTGTTTGTTTGTTTGTTTGGTGGGGGCTCTGTGTAGTCTCTGCTGCCCTGAACTTGCTTTGTCGACCAAGCTGGCCTCCAACAGTGATCCACCTACCTCTGCCTCCCAGAGCGCTGGGATTAAAGGCATGTACCACCATGCCTGGCAGTTTAGGGGGTTTCTATGGGTGCTGTATTTTGAGATTCTGAGGCACCAGTACTGAGAAACACACACCCTCTCAAGGGGATTGTGCAAGGCAGTGGGGACTAGGTCAAAGAGGACACCTCCTCCTGGAGGAGATGGCAAGGAGGTGGGGGTCAGAGAGATGTTTTGCCAGACAAGGGATCTAGTTTGGCCGGAGACTGGCCTTGAAGGAGGTGCAGAAGAGGAAAGGCCATCAGAAAGGCTCCCTCAGCACCCCACCTGGTTCAAAGGGCAGGAAAGAACCAATCTTCTGAGGGCAGGCTGAGAGGGGATCCTGTGTATCCCAAAGGCATCTGGGAAATGTGGGAAAGGAGAAAGGCAGATTTACAGTAGGGGCAGAGGGCACCCGGAAGAAATCAGTGATGTGCCTCCCTCTAACCATAGCTCTCCCTCTTTCTGTCCCGGGCTAGTGCGGGCGTGTGTGTGTGTGTGTGTGTGTGTGTGTGTGTGTGCGCGTGTGTGCATGTGTATTTTATTTAATTTATTTTTTCCGGTATGTATGTATTGATTTTTCAGGACAAGGTCTCTCTGTGTAGCCCTGGCTGTCCTGGAACTTGTTTTGTAGACCAGGCTGTCCTTGAACTCACAGAGATCCACCCTCCTCTGCCTCTTGAGTGCCGGGGTTAAAGGCGAGGCATGCGCCCCAGCTTTGTTTCCTTTTCTAAGACAGCATCTTGGTATATCCAGGGTAGCCTGGACCTGGTAACAGAAACTGGCCTCAGACATGTGGCAATGCTCCTGCCTCCGTCTCGAGTCTGCCAGGGTTGCCAGGGTGGGCCACCACACCCCATTCTTTTGTTTCTCTTCTTACCATGCAGGGCGAACACCACACGGACCATAGCTGCCATAGATCCCTGAACCCTGATCTCTATCCAGATGCTATCTGGGCTTTCTGCCTCCCTGTACAACTCGGACCCAAACAGACACACAGTCTCTTTAATACGTTCTTGTTTATTTCCTGTGTTTTGAAACTGGAGTCTCAGCATGAGTGCTTTGCTTGTGTAAATGACTGTGCACCGTGTGAGTGACTAGTGGCTGCAGAGACCGGAAGAGGTGTTGGATCCGCTGGAACAGATGGTTGTGAGCCACCATGTGGGTGCTGGGAATTGAACCTGGGTCTTCTGGAAGAGCAGCCAGGGCCCTTAACCACTGAGCCGGCTCTCCAGCCCTAGTCTCAGCATGAATTTGAAAGCTGTCCTCACATTCTCCATGCTTCTTCCTCAGCTTCCTGGGGGCTGGGTCACACGTGTGTGCACTCTGTACCCAGCTGGAGCATGATTCTTAAGCTTAGAGAGCGTGATGTCCCATCATGCCTTGTGGTCTGTACTCCGTACTCAAGGTTAGAAGAACCAGTGGATCAGGGATCCCCCCCCCCCCATACAAGGAGGAGGGTAGGACGTTAGAGACACATTTCCATGCCTTTCCCTGGGCTGGGGGCTCATGGAGCCTAGAGCAATCCTCACTCAAGTGCTCATGCTAGGTGTGGCAGCAAACACCTGAAGTCTCAGCACTTGGGAGGGGGAGGCAGGACTGGCTCAGGCTCCAGGCCTGCCTGGGCTACCTGGCTAAATCCTGTTTCAAAACTTCAGTTATCTTCGAATGAGGCAACCCCAGCACTGTGAGGGCCGAAGCATGAGGAGACCATCTGCCGAGCATGACAACATCACCAAGGGCCAATTTGACACATTTCCACTGTCCTCGTGTGCATGCTCCATACCCTAGAGGGCCTGGACCTGATCTCAGGGAGACTCTTTCACCAGCTGGGAGGTGGATGCAGGTGGATCTCTGTGAGTTCGAGGCCAGCCTGGTCTCTAAAGATTAAAGTCCAGAATGCTCAAGGCTACACTGAGAAACCCTGTCTCAGGGGAGAGAGACTTTGTATCACACACACAGGGTGGGTGTGTGTGTGTGCTGGGAATATACCTTAGTTGGTACCATGATACCACATAAACTAGACGTGTGCACACCTGTAACCCCAGAAGTTCAAGGCCAGTCTTGGGGCACGTGAGATGCTGTTTGAAAACAACAAAAGGGCTAATGGTGGTGGCATATGCCTTTAATTGTAGCACTCAGGAAGCAGAAGCAAGAAAAAGAAGGGAGAGGAGGAGCAGGGAGGTGAAGAAAGAAGAAAAGGAGAGGAAAGGAAAAAAAGAAAAAAAGCTCAGTGTGGCTGTCCACACCTGTAATCCCAGCACTAGGGAGGCAGGAAGGGAGTCCTGTGAGAGCCAGAGGCAAGACCCTATCCCAAAAGCAAACATACGAAAGCATGGAGCTTGCACACAGTAGGCGTGTGGAGGATGTATGAATCTAGGGTGCACAGGGCACCTCCTGTTTTCTAGCCTTTCTGTACCTCCCCCAGGCGGGAACAGCCACATACACAGTCTGCCTGGACCACGCCTCCTCCAGCTTCCTTACAAGGCCCTGAAGATTCTCAGAAGGCTTCAGGCTAAAAAATAATAGAGATAAGCACCGGTCCTAACCAGAAGTACTTTCCTGCCCATGAATGACCTCATGCCCGACTCCCAGTCACTCTGAAACACTCCAGAGGCAACGGCCCCTAAACTGAGGCCCTGGAGAGAAGCCAGCGCTTGCCTTGTATGGGTAGCTTTAGCTAGGTTTTCCTTCCCTGTTGTCCCTGCCCAGATTGTGTTATAGTTAGCAGATGGCCAGATGGCTAGGCCCCCAGTGCCTTCCATCCTGTCCTCCCACTTCCGGCTCTCACCTAATGGCCCTGAGAGAAGCAGGTGGAGGGGGGGAAGCACACAAGCCCTAAAACTTTCCACCTGTGTCCTCAGTGACTAAGAAGCTTGGTCAAGCACACGGGAACAGGAAGTAGGAAGGGCTTTGGGGAAGGGGGAGGGGCAGGTGTTCACGGGTCCCAGAGGCAGAGGTGGTCAGCCCGGGGAAGGTGAGGCAGTGGAGGCAGGTGGGTGCGACAGACAAAGGCAGTGTTCTCGGAGAACATCCTGATCTCGACATTTGACAGCAGTCAAGTGGCTGTCTGTTTGCCACACCCCACCTGTCTGCAGAACACCTGCAAGCCCGGGAAAGCTCTCTGAGACCTCCTGGCTCCCTGAGCAGTAAGGCGGGGAAGACAAGGACATTCACCTCCAGCCTATGCCTGGCCTTTGTGCAGACTGTAGAAAACTCTTGCTGCAAGCTTTCAGCATGTGTCTGCAATTTGTCTGTGGGCCACGGGATGCAGATTGGTGTGTGTGCGTGTGTGCGTGTGTGCGTGCGTGTGTGCGTGCCTGACAGACTCTTGCTGCTCCTTGAGCTCACCAGTTGGCCAGGCTGGCTGCCCAGCCAGCCCGGAACCCTCCTGCCCCCACCTTCTCGGTGCTGGAAGGACAGGCACCCAACCTCAGCAAGGAGCCATCTATCTCCTCAGCCCGAGTGACATCCGGGTACCAGCCCGGGTACCGGCGGCCCTAACTAGCTAAGCACAGCCTCAACACCAACGAAAGGGACAAGAGTGGATAGCAGAGAAAGGGAGTGTCGTTGATGTAGCCACATTGTGAAGAGGAACAAAGAGACACCCCAACCCCGACCTCTCTCTCACACACAAACACACACACCTGAAAGCTCACCCTTGGGGCTCAGACAAGGGTA